CTGTCAGTCGGCTGCCATTTCAAGATCAATGAATCGTGTAAGAAATAGCGTAATGAAAGAGAACTTGTGAACCCACTGCTGCAGCTATGCCAGCAGGCAGGAAAACCTGGCACATTTTGTTAAATCCTTTTTAATCTCATATTGCAAATGAAGCTTTTAAGTGGGTGCAGGATTGCCATAAGAGAGACATACCTATAAACTCTAATATGATTCAAGAAAAAGTGAAGTCCTTATCTGACAAAGCAAAAGGAAGGTGAAGGATGGTTTGATAATTTTAGAAAGAGGTTTGGCTTTAAAAGTTCAAGATAACAGGAGAAAGCAGCAGATGAGTTCCCAGACACCATTAAGAAAATCACTGAGGGCCAGGTGTGGTGGCTCTCACCTGTAATCCCAGCACTTTGGGAGGCCGAGGCAGGTGAATCACCTGAGGTCAGGAGTTTGAAACCAGCCTGGCTAACATGGTGAAACACTGTCTCTACTAATACTACAGAAAGTAGCCAGGCATGGTGGTGGGCACCTGTAATCCCAGCTACTTGGGAGACTGAGGCAGGAGAATTGCTTGAACCCGGGAGGGGGAGATTGCAGTGAGCTGAGATGATGCCAGTGCACTTCATCCTGGGGCCTATTTTTAGGAAAAAACATTCCACAAAGGACATTTATTGGTAAGGAAGAGAAGGAGCACCAGGACTTAGGAAGGGATAGATCAGCTCTGCTGGTTTGTGCAAATGCAGCTGAGCTTGTGATCAGAACTGCCCTTATCCATAAAACTGAACCTTGAAGGGAAAAGATAGACATCCCCTGCCAATCTTTTCACTGTTTACTAAGAAAGGAGGACACTGAGAACTTTTTCCTGGATTGGTTCCTTTGATACTTTGTCCCTGAAGTCAGAAAGTACCTTGCCAGTCAGTGACTGCCTTTTAAAGTTCTCTTGGTATTACACAATGCCCATGGCCACCCAGAACCCCCGGAGTTTAACACCAAAGGTGTCAAGGTGGTCTTGCCCCAGAACAATGCTTCCCATCCAGCTTCTAGATCAGAGGCTCATTACACATAGAGCTCTTTGGAAAGGGTTGTTAATGCTATGGAAGAGAACTCTGATAGAGAGACATCATGAAAATCTGGAAAGACTGCACCATTGAAGCTGCCCTTAGCTTTATAGGAAAAGCCTTGCAGGCCATCAGCCCTGAAACAGTTCCCGCCAGAGATAACTGTCCGGAGTTGTTCATGACCTCACAGGATTTATGACAGGGCCAATCAAGGAAATCATGAAGAAATCGTGGATATGGCAAAAAAAAAGCTTTCAAGGTATGGATCCTGGAGAAATTCAAGAGCTAACAGACACCACACCAGTGGAATTAACAGAAGAACACTTGATGGAGAAGCCTTACCAATAACATAAACCATTACCATACATTTTATGTGCTATATGTGTTAATGGTTTATTCTAACAATACGGTAAGCTAAAGAAAAGAATATTATTTAAAAAATTATCAGGAAGAGAAAACATAGTCAAACCAATGCTGGACAGTAAGGAAGAAGACATAGAAGAAGCAGTGCCAGGAAACAAATCGACATTAGACAACGTGGCGGAAGGGTCCTGATGACTCAATGCTTTTGACATGTTTCACAACATGGACGCTTTTATGATACAGGCACTGAAACAAAAGCAAATGGTGGAAGAAGGATTGGTACTGTATGGAAAAATGTTTAGAGAAATGAAAAAGCAAAAATGTCTGGCAGAAATTACGATGTTTTTGTAAAGTTAGATCAAGCAAGCCTGCCTCTGCTACCTCCCCTTCCACCTCCTCCACCTCTTCTGCCTTGGCCACCACTGAGACAGCAAGATCAACTCCTGCTCCTCCTCCTCCTCCACAGACCACTCAACATGAAGATGATGAGAATGAATACCTTTATGTGTAGTGAATATATTTTCTCTTCCTGATAATTTTTTAAATAACATTTTCTTTTCTTTAGCGTACTGTATTGTTAGAATAAACCATTAATACATGTAGCACATAAAATGTATGGTAATTGCTTATGTTATGGGCAAGGCTTCTAGTCAGCAGTAGGTTATGGGTAAAGTTTTTGGAGAGTCAGAAGTTTGATGTGGATTTTTGACTGCATGGAGGGCTGGCACCCCTAGCCACCACGTTGCTCAGGGGTCAACTGTGTATCAGACTTTCATTTGTAGACTTTACTTCAAAACCTGCTTACTCATTGGCAGAATCACTGGGAAGGCCTAAATCTAAAGGACTCATTCTTACATTAAAATGGTTTGTTTTTGTTTTTGTTTTTTTTGGTCATTATTTTATTTGCTGAGCAGAAGCTCTTTAGTTTGATGCAGTCCCATTTATTTACTTTTGTTGTGACATTCAGAATATTGCCAGGGTCAATATTGAGGTGCTTTTCCTCTATGTTCTCTTCTAGGAGTTTTATGATTTTTGGACTTTCATCCATTTTAAGTCGGTTTTTGTGTATAGTAAAATAAAGGTCCAATTTCATTATTTTGTGTGCAGAAATCCAGTTTTCCTAACAGCATTTGTTAAAGAGATTATTCTTTTCTGATTGTGTCCTCTTGATGGCTTTATTGAAAATTATTTGTCCATATATATTTACATTTATTTCTGAGCTCTATACTCTGTTTAATTGGTCTGTGTTTTTGTTTTTCTACCAGTACCACATTGTTTTAGTTACTATAGCTTTGTAATATAATCTTAAGTATGATGCCTCCAACTTCATTTTTCTTGAATGAAAAAGTAACCTATGGGCTGGGAAATAATTATTTGCAAACCACATATCTGATAAGGGTTTAATATCCAAAATTTATAAAGAACTCTTGCAACTCAATAGCAGAAAAACAAATGACCTGATCAAAAAAATGGGTAAAGGACCTGAATAGACATTTCTCCAAAGACAGCATAAAAATGGCCAAAAAGCTATATGAAAAGGTGCTCCTTTTCATATATGATTAGTGCACATCACTAATCAGAAGGGAAATGCAAATTAAAACCACTGAGCTAGTACCTCATACCTGTAAAGATGGCTAATATCAAAAAGACAAGAGATAGCAAATGTTGGTGAGGGTGCAAAAAAAGGGAACTGTGTGCACTGTTTTTTTATTTTTATTTTTATTTTTGAGACAGAGTTTCGCTCTTGTTACCCAGGCTGGAGTGCAATGGCGCGATCTCGGCTCACCGCAACCTCTGCCTCCTGGGTTCAGGCAATTCTCCTCCCTCAGCCTCCTGAGTGGCTGGGATTACAGGCACGCGCCACCGTGCCCAGCTAATTTTTTTGTATTTTTAGTAGAGACGGGGTTTCACCATGTTGACCAGGATGGTCTCGATCTCTTGACCTCAAGATCCACCCGCCTCGGTCTCCCAATGTGTGCACCGTTTGTAGGAATGTAGGTTGTTGCAGCCACTCTGGAAAATGCCATGGAAAACATTGACAATAGAACTACAACGTGACCCAGCAGTCCTCCTGTTGGTATATGCTCAAAGGAGAGAAAATCAACATCATGAAAGTTATCTGCCCTCCCATGTTCATTGAGCATTAGTCACAACAGCCAAGCTATGGAAACAACCTAAAAACCCATCAATGAACAAATTAATAAAAAAAATGATACAGGAGTCTGTGTGCATATGCATATACACACACGTACACATGATAGAATATTCAGGTTTGCAGAAGGAGAGCTTGCCATTTGCCACACTGCGGATGGACCTGGAGGATGTTATGCGAAGTGAAATAAACCAGACACACACACACACACACACACACACACACACACGCTGCAGGATCTCAATTCTGTGTGAAATCTGTGTCTTAACCAGAGCTCAAAGGCACCAAGGTAGACGATGGAAGTGTGGTTAAAGGATAGGCGGGGAGGGGGAGGAAATGGGGAGATGTGGGTCAAAGGATACGAAACAGCAGCTGCTAGGATGAAGAAGTCCAGGTATGTAAATGCAATACAAGTGCTAAAGTTAATGAAACCACAGTATATTAGGGATTTTCGTGAGCTACACAGATTTTAGCTGTTCTTGTTGCAAATAAAATTAGCGTCGTGAGATGATAGTTACCCGAATCCGCCTCACTACAGTTATACTATTACCTTCATAGCTGTAGGTATGGATCCCCTAAGATCATGTTACAGACTTCAAGTATACAGAATACACTTAGCTTTTTAAAAAATAGTAGGTTTTTGTGGGAAAAGAATCAACTTTGACACCTGCTGCTGCAGTGTGACATTGCTCTTTATTACTAGTAGGCTTTTGAAAATATTTGTTGATACACTGTGTTACTTAATGATGAGCTCCTCTTTCAATTCTGTCAGAATGGTATCTGATAACAGAGTTTTTCTCTGAAATAAAATATTTGATGGCAATTCTGGATGTATATTTCCAGAATTGTTTGTATGTGTGTGTGTGTGTGTGTGTGTGTGCATGCGTATATGTATATATACATATGTACACACATGCACAATTAGAGAAGAACTTATTTATCAACAGCTATAAAAATCTAAGTATTTGAATTGTTCAAATTCAAAGCTGATGAGTAGGAAGGAAAGCATATTGTATGTACCTATCAGGTTTATGGGGGAGGACAATAGAATATCTTTTATTTTTTCACTCAATTTGGAAATTCAAGGTAAGGTTGAATTACAGAATCTATACTCCTTCCTTAAAATTCGTCATCAAACATGAGCATATATTTAAAACTGTTCACAGGGTACTCTGGAGGCTTTTGATGTAAATAAAAAGTATGACATAAGTTCACCAAGATGTTAAAAATCTACAAGACAGAAGAGGAAAAGATGCCTGTTTATAAAGTCAGTTCCTCAAGTAGGATGACGTTTTGTCAGCCATCTTGGTTGCTGCTGTTGCATTTCATCAGTGACACTAATCTATAGACTAATGTGTAGACTGTCTGTCTGCTCTGTGTGGCTTGTAGCTGGTTACTGACTGAGTTAACACGGCACACCCGGTCATCTTGTCTTGTAGGCTTACATGTATGAAATGGGCTCCAGCATGTTTTCTCACCGGCTGGCTGGGCACACAGACATCGTCACTGCAGTGGCCTTCAACCCATCAGCACCCCAGGTACAGTCTTGCTGAGTGGGCGGGGTACCTCTGCTGCACATACGTCTTACATTATGTATTTGTATCTTTATGACTTTATTTTGCTGAAATCTTATAATATTTAAGGTTATGTGCCAGTGTTTACTGAGTGCAGGGAGAACTTAGGAAACAAACTTCTACTGGGGAGAAAAAGAAATAAACCTTTATTGTAGGAAAATGAATCTGGAAAAGTTTCCTTATAATGAAGGTGTTTGCCACTCAGCACTCGTGCATGTTTGATCTGAATGAAACAGGAATGTATAGGAAGACCCTCGGACAAACACAGTTACACGGGCACTAACATGGACACCAGTGCCAGCAAAAAAGCAAGCAGCAGAGCAAGGAAGACCAGGATTTTGAAAATTCTTGTGGAAAAAGACCACAGCATTTCCAGAAACATTCTTAATTAGAAGAAAACATGAAAATAACCATTGCAAATCAATTGTAATAAAAAATTAATGGTCTTCTGTTAAATGTAGAGGGATATTTTTAGCAAAAGATTAAAAATATTAGATACTGGCCAGGCATGGTGGCTCACCTATAATCCCAACACTTTGGGAGTCCGAGGTGGGTCGATCATCTGAGGTCAGGAATTCAGGACCAGCCTGGCCAACATGGCAAAACCCTGTCTCTACTAAAAAATACAAAAATTAGCTGGGTGTGGTGGTGGGCACCTGTAATCCCAGCTACTCTGGAGGCCAAGGCAGGAGAATCTCTTGAATCTGGGAGGTGGAGGTTGCAGTGAGCCAAGATCACAGCACTGCACTTCAGCCTGGGCAACAAAACAAGACTGTCTCAAAAAAAAAATAAATTAAAAAAATAAATATTGGGTATTGATTGAACTCCAGTGTTTGGGAATAATTTCATTTTATCTCTTTAAGATTGAGGCTTTCATTCAGAGAATAGCGTCATTGTGTGACTGTGTGCTCTGGCCTAGTGCATGTGACCAGGTGGAACGGCACTCTACATGTGTCTTGTGACCCTGTTTTTCTCCAGCAGACAACGATTGCTGTGGTTCAGGGCACATTGCAGTGCCTGGCACAAGTGGTCCTGCCACTGTGTATTGAATGTCGAAAATGAGTAAGTGCATCTTGTGCTATCATGGAGTAGAGTTCCCATCAGCCCTGTGGTTTGAAGGCTTCGAGATACTCCGGAGTTCCATCCTTGGCCCTAATTTGTCTTTTCAGTCTGCTGCAGACGGGAATTTGAATTTATAAATTCCCTATTATAAACAATACTGAAAAGTACATCTTGATGCTTCACTCTTCCCATGACGAGACTGTACCATGTACACTGCAAAGCACCTGCTTTTCTAGATAATACTTGTGCCATCACCTATTTCTGCATTTTTAAAATGTACCGTTTTGTGTTGTGTTCTTTTGTAGTCCTTTGAACAGTATTTGGGCAGTGAGATGGAGGAGTGGTCAGGAAAGAAAGATGAAAAGTGCAAAGCTAGACCCAGCAGGGTGGACGGCGGGGAGGGGGTGGTGATTTATGGGGAATCAGATGTTAGTTGTCTTGACACTTCAGCATTTGGCATCAAAATGTCTTTTAGCCTGACTGAGGGAATTTTTTTGAGTACTTGAAAATTTTCAGTGAAAAGTTGTGTAGGTCTCTATTGGCCTTGAGATTAATGAATAAAAGGTAAATATGGCGTAAATATTGTTCTAAGAAAGAAAGAGGAAAAAGCAACAAGTAGTAGTTGTCATGAACCTTGCTTCTTGATGAAGGGCTGCTAAAGATCAGGCAGTGAGAAGCCAGTTATGTATACGTATTCATCATACTGATTCATTAGACGTAATGACGTAACACTGAATTATATATGCATTTCACTAAGTTCATTGTAGGTATTCATGTATATAGGAGTGAGTGTAATTACTGGCTCTTTGTTAGTTTTTAAAATTTCCTGTCTTTACTGATATTAGTCCACTTTCTTCCACATCTATCACCTCACTACCGTTCCTCTGTTTCCCAGCATTGTAAATCAGACAACTGGAAGTATTTCAGTTGTTACTCAGTTGTGGTTTAAGTGGTAGTAAAATAATTATTATGATCACAATGACTTTTAAATTATGTTTTCTGATCATGTAGGTTTTCTCAGGTTTGGACAGTATTAGTAAGTATTGAAGAGACAGTTAACCACATAAAATTGAGTAAAAGTAAGATTTGGAAACAACGGGCAGGAAAAGTTTTTGTTAAAAGTAAACATGGTAAAGAAGTACTTGGGATGGAGGGACAGGACACTGAAAATCTTCTCCTTCACAAAGGCAATGAAAACAGTAACAGAAATTGTCAAAACCTGCTTCCTTAGAACTCTGAAATTAACCAGAGGCTTGCAACAATCCAGAGCATGTGTGAAAGAAAAATGGCTGAGTCTCAGTAAAACAGCAACCTTTGAAGCCTATCCTGCCTAATTTAATAAACAAGGAGAGCTTCACTTTAAAATCAGTTCCATCGGGTAGCAAGTGAAGTTCTCATGTGAAGCTCAGGTAAACTTGGAGGTAAACTCAAATTTAATATGTTATTCCATTTTGCAGTATATGAGGGTGCTGCTGTTTTGGAGGAAAGATTGATAGTACTCTCCTAAGCATGGTTTATTTTCTTTATGATATAAAGACACACATACAAGGAAAACATGGGAACAAGTATGGTCAAATACTGGAAGTCCGTGCCACAAACACCAACAGCATTTCCCCCGTCTAACAATTGGATCTGGTTAATGACAGAAGTACAGGAGCTGTGAAAATTGGGGAGTGAAGTGGTGAGGGCACAGGTCATACTTGGGGAATTGCTACTTTCTTTATTGATTATAATCAACTATTCAGCATTTTATAGAACAGGTCCAGACCTGATGCAGGAAATCCCAAAATTGGGGCTTACCCTGGGAGGGTTCTTGGCTTTGCTCAGGGAAGAATTCAAGAGTGAGCTGGTAGTGACAGAAAGCAAGTTTGTTAGAGCAAAAACTGTTTTGCAGCTGCACAGACAGAGCAGGGCCACGCCACTGACGGAGCTGCTGGCAGCAGCACACATGGGTTGCTGGTGGGCATAGTTATAACCACTCTTAATTATATGCCAAATAGGGGGCAGGCTATTCATGAACTTTCTGGAAAAGGGGTGGGAGTTTCCAGAACCATAGAGGTTAACATCTGGGTTGTTTCCATGCATTTGTAAACTCTTACCGTGTCAGTGAGAGTGTCTTATGCAGCTTAATTATAATTCGTGCATAATGGATAATGAGGGCAACCAGAGATGGCTTCAGCAGCATCTTGGTCCCAGCTGGTTTGGGCCAGTTCCTGTGCTACATCCTGTTTTGATCAGCAGAGTCATGACCTAGGCTCTGGAAACAAGCCCTGCTTGACCCCTGCCTCAGACCCTCTAATTGTTCATTTCTGATGGGTACTTGGTAATGTTCTCTCTTATATAAATTTGATTTAAAACGTGTGTCTTATGATAAATAAATTTTCCTCTCCACAGTCATTACTGCTACTTTGAAGTGGGCTGTTTTGTTAGATGGTTTAAGTCTCTCTAATCTGCCCCACATTACAGCCTCATCAAAGGATCAGACCTTTCATCTATGACTTCATCAAGTTTTTCTTGGTAAAATCTACAGCTGGTCATTGCAGGATGACATCTGATGCCAGGAGTAAGCAGGTTTTGGGAATGGCCAGTTCACTATTGAGTTTGTAACCTGGTGGAGAAATGTCACAGAAGCACATCTGGTGCCACTGACACCCAGCTGGTGGTGACCTCTGCAATCAGGAGGAGAAACTCATGGAAGTCGGCTCAGCCAGGAGGCAGACTCTGGCTTCTGCCACGTACCTACTAGGGTCATGGTGAGAGTCCTTACATTAGGGACATGGAGCGTGATGACGTCTACTGCAGCTCCCGGTTCTTATTCCTTCATAACACGGGTGTCTGTCAGGCCGTAGATGTCTTGAACTCCCTGAGTCTCTCAGACACAGATGGTCGCTAATAGCATTTGTCTGTATTTTACAAGGTTGCTTGGGAGTAAATGATGCCATATAAAATAATAACCAAAGCTACTGTTGAGCATCCCCCAAGAGTGAGGAGCTGTTTGAGCGTTTTTCCTCATATAATCGAGTTCTTGTCAGTAGCTCTGTTTGCAGTGTTAGTGCAACTGTGTCTCAGATGAGAGTGTGGGGTTGCAGACAGATCAGTTTATATGCAGAGTCTGCACCAGCATCCCGACGGCTTCCAAGCCCACGCACTTACGGCCCACTGTGAGCTTCTGTGCGGGAAATCTGTTAAGGGCTGCACACATTTGTAATGAGATAAAATACATTGTTTTTGCCGTTTGTTTTTAAATATGTATTTCAAAGTTCTTTTTGAAATTGTAAAAAACAAACAAAAAAAGATGATCTAGGTAGACTTGACATTCATCCAAAATGCAGGCGTGTTTTGCAAGTCCTTCTGGGCGCTGAAACAGCTTCCTGGCCTCTCACATTCACAAGAGGACTTTCTGGAAGATAGGCCGTGCCGTTGTTTTTATCTCCCAAAGGGCAGCCCACACTGTGGCTATGGATAAGAAAGTGAACTTGATGCTGACCTGTCACCTAATGCACGGTGTGGGCACCGTTTTTCCGGGACTGCCACACTTTGGCAGAGCGCGCCTCCCAGCCTGAAGCCTCAAGCACTGGGGAGCGATGGCACCAGCGTCCCAGCGGGAGGATAAAACACGCGTTAGAGAAACGCGTTTCGTGGAATCAATAGGCGATCGATGGATGGAGAGAGGCGGGTGGAATGTTTTTTAACGAGAATTGGCCACGCAGTTGCAGAGGCCGAGAAGTCGCACGCTCTTCCGTGTGCAGGCTGCAGCCCCAGGACGGCTGGTCCCAAGGCCCGAGGATGCGGAAGGGTGGCGGGTACTGAGTCCCAGCCCAAGGGCGGGAGAAGACCAGGGCCCCGGCTCCAACAGGCAGGCAGAAAAGCCACTGGTTTAAAACCGGTCGCGGCGAATGGCT